ATGTATGTATGTATGTACATACGCATATGCATACACATATGTACACGCAAAAGCAAGGCAGAGGGTCGCAAGACAAAGCAATTCAAGTCAACTCAAAGCCAAGCAAAACCACTATTGAAATAAACAAAACACACCCAAACAGCGTAGCACGAGACAACACAACAGAACAGAGGAAACGATAAGAACAACAGCAACAACAATACAACTACAATCAGGAACACGATCACGATCACCACCAACACCACCACAACCACCACCGCCGCCGCCGTCGTCCCCGCCGCAACAACACCAGCATGAACTGGAACATCAACACCAACACCAAATTGACACCAAAATCATCAGTATCATCAACAACAACAACAAAACACCAAAAATAACAAACAAGAGCGACATATCAATGCAAAAGCAACAACAACGGCAACAGCAGCAACAGCAACAACAACGGCAGCAGCAACGGCAGCAGCAGCAGCAGCAGCAGCAACAGCAACAGCAACAGCAACAGCAACAGCAACAGCAACAGCAACAACATCAACCTAATCATGCAAACAGACAAACTCCAACACAATTCGCAAGCAAACATTCACACGCACGCACGCATGGACGAGCACACACTCGCACAGACGCGCACACGCACGCACACGCATCACAAACCTTGTCGTCTGACTAGTCCGCTTCTTGGGTGAAGCTTGATGGACAAGCTTGTTGAGCATGCACCATGCCTAAATCCGTGCTGTTGATTTGCCTGGTCGATACGCTCCTTGGGATCGCTTAGCTGTGGGTACATATCGATGTGATGAACCATTGCGCAATATTCTTGTCAGCTGATGCACAGCATTGGAAGGTATCAATATTCAGATGGGGAAGTCTATATGGTTGCAACTGAGTTCTGCTGCAGTGCTCATTAGAAACCAGATGGGAGTTGCAAAACAAAACAGTGGCATTGGTTGCTGTTTTTTGCCGCTGTGTCTATTCTTCTTCGAAAGACGACGCCGCACAATCACTACTGTCACTGCCTTGTGTTGTTGCTGGCTCGTCTTGCAACGTCATCATAATGGCAACCACGACTCCTCTCAGTTACCGTCGTCAGCCATCAGTTGTGCTTTGTAGCATCGGCTACTTGGTGCGCGCAATTTTCATCACCGCCGATTCCCGAGTTATACCTGGCACAATACCAATCCAAAAAGTTTAAAACCATCTTTGGCGAGGGCTCACGATCCACTTCATGTGCAGGCCCCTGTTGGCTTCTTCGATCCGTTTGGCCTGACCAAGGTGCACGCTGGTCATTGAGAAAGGGGTTTCTGAAGATCAAGGGTCCGGTATTTGTAAAGGTCCTTGTATGGACATATTGGCGGTTCCATAAGAAAGGGTCCCTTATGCGATGAGACCAAATGGTTACTTCGGTTTGTTTGAGGCAAGGCTGGTAAGGCGTACCGGAACGATGTCTCTTTGTTGCTGTTGTGTACTGCTAGACTGCTGACACGACGAATCTGTCATCCTTTGCTGGCGGCGTTTAGCAAGAAACCAATGATGAGCGTGTGCTGGTTTCTGGGCATGAGAGATTCGGCTGTATATAATTGCCAAGTATCGGGGCCGAACCCCTTCAGGACTAGTGCCTATAGTTAAATTAAGACTTGCGACAGCACTGACGATCCCGACTGCTCACTGGAGCGCTCGTCCAGGCTTCCTTGCCAAAATGATGGTCAAAAGTGTAAGACAGGTGTTGCTTGCATGGTCCGCCCCGGGCTCAGCCTAGAATTGAGCCCTTCGGCTCTTATCAGGGTGAGTCGCCTTACCTGCTGAAACATACACCTTGGCCAGGCTTGAAATCTTTTGCGTGTGGAGGGTCTTCAGCTAAGTTGAAGACGATCTCTTTTCAAATGAAGCCTCAATGCTATGTTGCGATCCGGACCAGCCCTCTGCCCCACCAATTCAAAGCTGTGTTGCACGCATGCAGGATGGCGACATGGAGGCTTTCAAGCGCCGCCGTGCTACGGAGCGGGGTGCAAGGGATGGGCCGGGGGTAAAGGCTGCTTGTAACGTTGGGAGACTATGCCTTCAGACTTTGGGGCTGGGCGTTGCTACATGAGTATTTGCTTTTTCCTAAGCATGGTCATATCATGTGGCCCTGTATAGCCCACCATAGATTTGAGCTGTTTACGTTGGCCAAACTAAGCCGCAGTTTGCGTCGCTTGCAGGGCAAGAAAGCGCAGGGCCCAAAGTCTCTCACCCACCGCAAGCACTTTGAAGGCAATTTGCTTTCAAAGATGCAAGCTACCCACGAATTGAAGCCCCCGGATGCAAACTGAAAAAATCTCAGCCCACTGGCAAAAGCCACAACCGCCCTTCGGCACCGTCTTGCATGAACCCCGGCCACTTAACCACCTAGTCGACAGTTGCGCACTGGGAGAAGGGTGGTGAGGTTTGCCAGGGAGTTCCTTTTGCCCGAGTGAGTCCTTTGAAGGCTGAGGGCGTGCAGGAAGGGCGCTGACCAGGTCTCGTGCGTTCGTGTCTCTGGGAAATGGCGCACCGCAAACCTCTCGGGATGTCTGGGATTTCACCGTGTATGGCTAGGGCCGCTAACAACTTTGAGGAGCTGAAGAACGGGCGTGTGGCCATGCTGGCCACCATGGGAGTCCCGGCAGCAGCGATGTCGGATGTAGCTGCATGTTGTCGTTGCCTTCTTTCCCTGCGGTCGCCACTGCTTTCATTCAACACCCGCCCTTGCAGTAACCTTTGGGTTGAGAAAAATCATTCGCGACGTGTGGATTGGGCAAAGGAGAAGGCTCCTTCCCTTGTCGTGACGTTTGCAGGGTGTACTTTTGTTTAGGTTTGCGTTGTAGACTTCAATGGGGTTTCCGTGGTATGTCAGCTTGGCTTGTGTGGGACTGAGTTCCTTCCCCTTCGTTGCGAGGCTACATCGTCCCGGAGTACTTTCGCTTCCCAGGAGCACTGAAGTTCTGCCGTTGATTCTAAAATACCCAGCCCTAAACTTAAAACCATGTTGGCTGCTTAGTGCCAGTGACGTGCATGGTTAAGACGGCTAAGACTAAGAGCGAACTGTCGGTGGTGAACCTCAAATCAAGACGTGTTCCCTGAAGCCTAAATCGGTCTTGAAGCCCTTGGTCCCCAGAACGTTTGAGGGTTCCTTGCTGAAGGTGCTATTGGAAGCTTGATTTCGGTCCTACTAGCAATCCATCCAAAGAGGAAGACTCCTGCATGGCCTCACCCATCCAGACTTAGTATCCCGTCAGGCTGCGAGTTCATGACTGATCTACAGTGGCTCTTTACTAGCCGGCAGGAAGGTGCATGGCACACAAGCAGCACTAAACAAAAAGCTTCTCTCACGGTGAGGACGAGCTCTGTTCACAGTTGGCTATAATAACTACGAACGATGTCACATCCTCCTCACAGCGCATAGGATACTGTGCGCCCTCCGCGGGCCTCAAGTTTACGGACATCCCGAACGGCCTGGCGGCTTTGAGCAAGGCAAGGGAAAGTCCTCTGTGCTTTGCGCATGTTGGCTTGTGTCAGGGTGTGCATCGTTAGGGGCCTGGATCCTTACATCGTTTCTTGGCGCTGGTGGGGCTGTTCTTAGCGAAGAGTTCCCCTGCCAGGTACCTAATGATTTACACCTGAGCTTAGTGTTAGCCTTCACCGCTTCACCCCGACAAAAGCCCAAACAAAGCCCACACCCGACAAAGATCGCCGAAGATCGGGCCCTAAAGCAGGTGCCGGGAGCTGGCTGGACCCAGATCTTCCTCTTCTTGGGCCTCGTTGAGAAGGGCCTCTACACCTTTGACCCGACTCGTCAGCCGGGCGCAACTTGAATGTGATTAGTGCAGTTGGGGAGACTGTGGCTTCGCCGACGAGCAGCTCTTGCTGACTCTCGCTGTGCTTGTTTGTCTCCCCTTTCTTTTCCTTGCTTTTCTGTTGTTTCTCTGTGCGCTGTTTATTTCCCATGTTTTATTGAACTTGTTTCTGGGTGTCCACAGCCCTTTCCTTCTCTGTTTTTTTTTTCTCTCTCTCCCTCTCTATATTTCTATCTCTGCTTCATTGTTCCTCTGCGTCTCTTTATCGTTATCCTTGTCTTTCTCTCTCTGTCTTTCTCGCGCGAAGCATCAGCCATGAGTTGAGAGTTCGAAGAGCCCGAAGGAGGACTGGGCAGCTGCAGAGCTTTAAGGCTCCAAAGCCTCAAATTTTCACTGAGATTCTGGCTTGCTTAGGAACCAGATGTGGGGTCTATGGCGGAGCAAGGCAGTGCCCGAAGCCTTGGAAACACCGAAACCTAAACTCCTAAACCCCTCAAGCTCAAACCCTAGCTCAAGTCAGCGCGACATCACATCTGAGGACTACAAGAATGCGGGTGTGCTGGGCGTGCCGAACGGCAGCACCATGACACCTGGCGAAGGCCTGTCTTCGGCGGGTTTGCGGCCTGGAGCTTACAAGTGTTTCGCGTTAGCAGCATTAAAACCGGTCGCTCGCATGTGCGTGCACATGCTTCGATGAGCGCACTGCGAGCGCACAGCATGCAGCAAACAATGTTACATAGAAGTATGCATATACACGTACATATACAGACATATACACGTGCGTCTACAAACACGTATACAGATACATATATACCTATATCCATACATATATATATATACACGCATACATGCATGCATGTATGCATGCATACATACATACATACATACATATATAGATACATACATACATGCACGTGTGCATGTGCTTGTACCTTACAAGTAGCATACACAGCTGCGCGTGCCAAGCCTTCATTGAATTCAATGTTGTGCGGCTTGTAAGCTTGTCGGCATGAAACTTACTGTCTGTTTTCCGACGTATCACTCGTCCCTACACCCCAACTTCCCGTAAGCCCAAAGATGGTCCGAGCCGATCCACAATGCCAAGCGCTTTAGCACCATTCGGCCGATTGCTGAAGCCCCTGGAAGGCCGAAATCGCAAGCTCAATTCCGAGCTGGCGAATGGCAGGTTGGCCATGATGGCTGCTCGGCATGTTGTGTTCCTTCTGTGGATACTGGTATCGCTATGTGCCTTCCCTATCATCATTACCACCACCACCACCACCACCACCACGACCACCACCACCACCACCACCACCACCGCCACCATCACCGCTATTGCTAGCACCACAACTGCTATCACGATGAAGATGACCCTTACTGCTACCACTACTTACTGCCACGGCTACTAATACGACGGACACTGCCGCTACCACCAGTACTGCCGTTAGGACGGCTACGAACATCAAAACCCCCACCAACAGCGCGACAACTGCAGACTGCCACTACCGTCGTTTTCGTTCCTCCCTTCGTCTGCTCGTCTTGTTTCGTCAGCTTGTGACCATGGCATTTTGTTGACGAGGAAAGCTCCTATTGCCGCGTTTCGAGCAACACTTAGACGGAATGCCATCCACGGGGCTTCTTCCTGCGTACTCGGCTCAGGCCATCATTGGCATGTTCTTCCAGGTGGCTTGGCCATGATGGAAGTTAGGGCTCACCGCCTCACCAACCCATGTAATTTCTCAAGCTGCAGGGCCGAAATAGCAGTTCTAGCCGCAGAATGTCTACGAGACTGAAGCTTGTCATCGTGGGATGTGTTTGCCTTAGGGAATGCTGTCTTGAAAGCTTGGAACTTCAAGCTTGAGGCGGGCTTTAGGGCGTTTCCCCACGATATGCAAAAGACTTGCGGACTCGCTACGCCTCCCATTGCCCATCTTCAACGGATATCCCCGAATCGCCAAAGCTTGACGGCTCATGAACCTACCTCTATACAGCCAAGCCAGGGGCGGACCACCATGGTTGTTTTGCATCTTCTGTACTGCAAGCGCACTGCTCTAAGCCCCATTGTCAAGAACAGGGGAAAATAGTGAATGATACACTTCCCTCGTTGTGGCAACTTCGATCAATCAAGCTCTGTAACAAGAACCCGGTCAAGCTGCTGCGGAGGCCTGGGTTCCGAGCCAACGTGTGAAATAAGTTTACGGATCATCGGGGGGCCAACGGTCTCTGCTTGACCCCTCGTACAGCTTCGATGTGACGTTTTGTTCCTGATCTAAGCCGAAAGACCTTCAAATTTATGCACTTCGGCGAATTTAGGCCGAAAGCCGGCTTAAGGGAAGCATCCGGGCAACCGGTTTAAGGGGAGAGTGCTGTGAGGATGGCCTCACGGGCAGCGCCTGGGGTGATTGGGCCGCGTACACCGAAGCTGGGTCTTATTTAGGTTGGGGGCTTCTGGGTCAAACGACTTTCTGTTTTGGCCAGTAGGTCGTTCCGAACTTCTGCTTGAAGGTTTCAAGAAAAAGGAACAAACACGCAAACAAACAAACAAACACGCACAATTCTGTCGATCCTCAGCGTGAGTGGCATGTCGTTTCAGGCCTGCTGGCACGCATGCTCTGCATGTTAGGGCTCCTTCATCATCCTCAGTCATTGAACAGTGTGTAGAACAGCTGTATAGCAGCAAGCCTGAGTAGTTAAGATAATGTTCCATGTCAGGTGTAGCCACGAGTTTTGGATTGCAGTCACAGTTGGCCTCGAGGGATGAGCATGATGAGCGTACGCGCATCAAGCGGACATGAAAAACCATTGTCGAGCTCTTAACGTGCAGAACAGAGCAGCAAGCAACGTAAACGTAGGATTCTAGGCCAAACATCCGGCAACTATGTGCCACGAAGGATTCCCCGCTTCGTGCCTTCGAGAACGAGCTGGGCGTGCAGGCTACACTGTTTACTAATGCAAAGGCCTGAAGGTGTCAAGCTGATGTGAAGTCGTTGCGCTTGCGGGAATGAGGTGGGTGGCTATTTTCGGTTTGACTCGCTGCATGACGAGGATGCAAGCCAAGCACACTCACCGAGTTCTGCACACATGCGCAGTTCAGTTTTGGTTGTTGGCTCTGTCAGCAGTCTCAGTAAGTTCCTGGTATGGTAACGTTCAGACTTCTGTTGTAGCTCTATCCATCATGCAGCATTCAGCTCGCTAACCAGGGCTGATGCGCTCGTAGATAGCCAGATCTGCGAAGGTATAAACATAATATGAATATATCAGAGCGTAGAATTAGTGCGGCCGGCATTTTGGTGTCAACAATTATCTATGTCCGGTTTAGTGCTTTCTTTTGCTGGTCGGTTGGCTGGTTGGTTGGCTGGTTCAAGGCATTTGCGCGTTGCCGTTGATGTTCCAGCTGCCGCTGCTTTCCCATTTAACAGGTCGTATGTTGATTTGGAGAGTGGAAACCCCGTGTGACACCCGGTGGAGGGAAGTGGCCATACTTCTGTCACGTTACTCAGGTTAATAAGTTCGGACATTAAGTTGACAACGAGTTAAATCCTTGTACATGCAAGTCTGGCCAGCCCATACACAGCACAAATAATGTATATACGGAGGGAGGCCCAAACTCCGGAATCCCACTTCCTGCACAACTCGTCTCAGGCTCCCGTAGGTTACTTCGATCCGCTGGGAATGTCCAAAGATGGCGATGAGAAGACGCCCCTTTGGCACAAATCTTAAAGTTGGGGTTTGATGGCAAGTGTCGTTTTTGGCTGTGGAGTCAACCCACGTTCCACGCCCGTATTATCATGTACCCACACCATCCCACGTCCACATTACCCCCCCCCCCCCCCCCCCGCCCCACTCCCCAATTCTCCCCACCGGCCACGCAGCTGCGTTGCTGCCATCTCCTGCGCCTCTTTCTACAAAACACTTGCTTGACATGTCGGCGAAAATGTCTTCTCATGTCGCTTCTGGTTTTCCTCCTGGAAGCAGCTTATAGACTATCATCTTGAAAAATGTTGTCGCGTAATAAGCGTGCGTTTGGCCTGGTGCGCTCACCTGCGTTGTCTTTCCCTTGTTCCAACGCCGCCTTAATCCGATTCTACTGGCCCGCGTGATGCTCGCCCCAAAGGTATCTACCTAGTTCAGGTGGTGGTGCACTTGGAATGTTTCGTGATGGTTTTGCGCTTGCAACATCTGAAGTTTTTGTTGTACGTGAACAAACAACCCTCAACAACCCAAGTTTTGACGAATCCTGGACATTAAACAACCCCAAGTGTAAAACCCCTAAGATCACGAAATCCCAAACCATCGGCCCAAATTTCCCCAAACCCTGAAACACCCGCCATCCTGAATCTTAAAACTAAGTCCGAAACAGCCCCAAGCTGTCACCCCTGAACAACCCTTCCCCCAAATCCAATCCGAAGCTCAAACAACCAAACCTCTAAAGCAAACACCTAAACAACCCTGAATTTAGTAGGCCACCCTAAACCCGAAGGGATGCAAACCCGAGCCCTAGCAAAAAAGAAACCCCACAACTGAGAAGCCCAAACCGCCCAACGACCCCCTTCTAAACCAGTGTGTCGTTGTGGTTGTCATGGCTATAAGACGCTACAAAGATTGCAATTCAACGGCGTCGGGTGCCGTTGAAGCTCGAATGTTCAACCAATTTTTCGAGGCTCGAAAAGCCAAAACAGATCGGTCCGTTACCCTGCGGCACCACCTCGCCGCAGTTGCCCTGGATCACGCTTCGTTCGATTGCTGATACATATGTTGTTCGTACAATGTCGTACACTTTTGTTTATTGAAGGAAGCGAGAGAATGCTGCAGGTCACGGCGGTGAGGATAATTCGATAGGAGGGACGGGTACACGGATTTCACACGGATTGTCACTGCCAAAACGGATTGCTAACTGTGTGGCGTTTGAGTAGAGTTCCCCCCCTTGAGCCAATAAACAGGCATGCACAGACAAGGGTAGTTGTCCAAAATAGGGTCCCTCTTAGGGTCCTTTTTCTAAGGGTGCCGCACTATTTTGGGGACCTACAAAGGGACCCTAATTTAGAGAACTACCCACAAGAGATTGAAACCCTAAACACGAAATCGGCACCCTGACTCGACATCTACTGCACCGGTAAGGTTTCGCCGTCGCCGAGAGTCCGAACTGAAGTGCGGCGTCCCAGTGCTGAATTTTCGGGCTTGGGGTCTTCGAGCATTCGCGTTGAGGTCCGAAGGTGCCCAGTTCACCCGAAGGATGTGGCTTGTTGTTCTTTCTGAAGTTTGATGCTGTCATTGGTTACGGACTCTCCACTACAGCCCCATTTTGTTCATGTAGGCCGCAATTCGCAGTAGTTACTTTCGGTTTTCCTTCTTCGGCACCTGCCCCTCATGTTGGACGTCCTGGGGTCTGCTTGGACGCTTGGGTGAAACCGCTCCATGTGTGGGTGGGAGTGGCGTGTGCGCCTCGTGCACCAGGAGAGGGGTGAGCTTGAACACTTTCTTGGACAGCAATGCGCATCCCACTCGTCCTTTTTCAGCGCACCAAGCCAGCATAAGCTGGCGCAGCCAAGAGACGCCAGCCAAGAGGCAGCGAGGACACAAGGCGCCTTCCGAGAACAGTAGTTCTGCAGAAGTCATGCCGAGGACAACTTGATCAGCAAAAGTAGTTGAAATTGCTCCTTCAACTCTGAACCCCTAAACCCCAAAAGCCTATAAGCTGCCTATAAGCCTAAAGCTGTAAAGCACCAAACCCGAAACCGTTAGACCCTAACTCCCTAAACCTAGACACCAAACCCCTAAGCCCCCAAACCGCTTATCCATGAACTCTAAACCCCGAAAAAGTCCAGACTCCAAACCCTTACACTCTAAATTCCAAACCCGACACTTTAGAAGACTAATCACCATTAATCCTCGAAGTATCCCTAGTAGTAGTCCTCATGCAAACTCTTCAGGGGACCCGAACGGTCCTCTGCTTCTAGTCCATGAACCCCCGAGAGCAAGGAATGGACGCGTCGCCATGTTTGCTGCCATGGGATGCCACCTGGTTCGGATGTCGGATGGTTGCTTCGAGGGTTCAGGCTTTTCGGGGTTCCGGGCTTCACTTCAGAAATCGGGGTCTCAGGATTTCGAGTTTATGACTCGAACTATGCAGCTTGTCAGTTTGGGTTCTAGGTTTCTCTAGCTCCTGTGCACACAGTCATCAGATCTCAGCTCCATAAACATGTCCTTGTGTGGCACTTTGAGTCCCTGACATACGAGATTGCAGTTGGCGAGCTTAAAAGAATTTGCTAACTTATACATGTCCAGTCCCCGTGCAGTTGTGGCTTTAAATAAATATCCCCGTCAGATCCCACAATGCCCCTGCTGCACCCCGGTCTGAAGTGAATCGTAAACATTGCAATCGCATCCGAATTCATCCGTCCAACATGTTCACAAGAAGATTTCCCGGCCGTGCCAAGTCATCACCCCGGAGTACTTCCGCTTCCCTGGCTTCCTGTCGCAGCGGCCTCAGAAGAAGGCTTCTATGTGTATTGATTTCACAACACTCGGGGTTTTAATCCAGGAGGCTGTGTCAACTAGCCATCTCGCGCCTTTGTCATCCCTGTGCGGTTATAGCCAGTTTCTCTTCTAGCGATCCACGCCCAGGCTTCGTTGGGGTCCCCTGAAAGTCAAAAGAAAGGAGCTTGAAACAAGTTTTGGGTCAT